CCTGCTGAAGAGATCTCAACATGAGACAGCTCTTTTTTAGCACTACATGAAGATCTTTGCAAATAAAGTCGTGCTCTTAAGTGGAGAAATCGTCCATGAAACAAAACCTAGAAGCTTTATTCTGCAGGGAAGGGGTCTGCAGTCTAACCTGTTAATAATCTAGTCATCTACTACTACTAGATTGTTAAGGACTGCAAACAAAAGCGACTTGGTTATGTTGTAGCTCAAGAAACCCACCTTTCCTCACACAATAATCAACTGAATGGGAAATACACAAACTAATCCCAGTCCTAAGGAAGTACCTTTCCACAGAACCTCTGCGCACAGCCGGTCTCACCCACCGAGCGGGGCCTTAGCAGACAGCTCCCGTTTGGGAGCAGCTGGGAGGCTGCGCCCCCTCTGCCTACTTTCCTTTCCCAGCACAACGCATCTCTCCAGCGTGGTCCCAGCTTGGCCCTCGTGCTTACCTGGGCAGGAAAAGGGGTCCTGTGCAGACGTAGACGTTCTTGTTGTTCCTCGCCAAGCTTCTGCTGTACTTCTCAAGGTTATTCCAGGCGTTCTGGTTTAAATGAGGATCCTAGAAACACAACCAGGGCGACACAGACAGCAAAGTCAGTCACTGGGGAATTTTTTCACTGTTCAGAGTAACAACACCCATATTTTCTGTAACACGCAGCACCCCAAGCACTTTCCAGAGAGGTCTCCACTACCACCTCCGCTCCAGACACTGCGTACAGCGAGCTCCTGGTTTACACACCCAGGAGCAGAACCCGCTTGCCTCAGACCATGATTTTTGCAAGCATCTGTCCGCCTGTTTAACTTCGTTCCTGCAAAGAGCTGCGCTGAACGACATCTCCCGTGGCTAGAGAGGAGCGCGCAGGCAGGCGCGTTTGCAGGATCGCTGTTGTTAAGTTGAGCGAAAAATATGGCACCCCCGAGTGCATTCGGTCACTTTGGTCCCTCTCTGCCTGAACAGGGACAAGCACATGGAAGAGCCAGACGGTTTCCAGCAGGGAGCAGCGCCTGCCCTTGAACCGGGGCAGCTCCGGCTTCCCCCCTCCGCCCTCCCTGGGCGGGCCCAGCCCCCCTGCGGGCCTGGGGGGCTGCGTGGAGCCGGTGCCCGGGGCGGCTCCTACCTGCGGGGCGATGTTGCTGAGGTAGAAGGTGTCCCTCATGGCTTTCTGACTCCATTTGTGGTTGGCGGCGGCGGCCAGGTGCCCGCGGTCGAAGCCGCTGCCGCGGGAGTCGGCGGTGGGGGGGCGGGGGGGTTTGTGTGGTGGGGGGCGGCGCCGAGGTCCCCGCGGTCGAAGCCGCTGCCGCGGTAGTCGGCGTTGGTGGCGCGGTGGTATTCGTGCACCGAGTCGTCCTCTTGGAAATCGCAGCCGGCGCGGTCGGAGGTGCCGCTCAGCGTCTCCCGGTTGAGCTGCTCGATGACCCAGAGCGCGCTGCGGTTCCGCGGGTCGTAGCACAGCACGTAGGACTCGCGGCTCCGCAGCTGCGCCAGCCCGGGCAGCCCGTACTTGGTCAGCTCGGCCCGCCCC